ACACATAATTTCCAGTGCTAAATAGTTAAAGTATAAACTTATGCTAAGTCAGATATACTCAAAGATTCAAAATATTTCTAGGTTATTGTAGGACATGGGTAGTATTCTAAGATTATGCTCTAAGGACTGTAAAATAAATAAATAAATAAATAAATAAAATAATAAAATAAAATAAATAAAATAATAAAATAAATAAATAAATAAAATAATAAAATAAAATAAATAAAATTCCCTGAAAATATAAAATCTGATACATAATATAGAGACCTGCATTTTGTAAAGTCCAAAATTTAGTAATATAGTCTCAAAACTAGAAAAAATCATTACTCTAGTTTAAAATTTTTCAGGTGTTGAATCAATCAGGTTATTTTTTCCATTGAGAACGATAGCTTAGGATAGGTACCTTTGAGTATTGATAGTGAGTTAAGCCCTGTAGCACCTATATCTAGTTTACGGGTCAACTTTGAATCCCATTTACCATTTATTGTTCATTATTAAAAACAGCCTAAGCACTGGTTACAATGTCAGGTCTCACTCAAGGCACTGGAAGCCGTTTACCAGGGCTACCAAGTTGAGGAACACTTCTCTTCTAAATGTTGGAAGCTGTGTGCTTTTCCAGCACTTGGTTCCATTGCAATCACTCCTCTGTTGTACTGGGTGGTTACTTCAAAGCAAGAAAGATAATTCAGATATCCCATGAGAAGGTCTGATGATCTCCTCTTCAGTACTCTTAGAATTATTTTGTTGATGCAATGCAAATCAAAATAATCTAATAAGCAGTTTGGATTTGTGGCGAATGTTGACTTGGCATCACTGGGCACAGAGCAAAGGGTGAAAAGTCACTGGAGCAAGGCTTCTCTCCCATGCTGGACTCCAGCTTCTATAACAATTCTCCACAGCTTTCCTGTGACCCCTGCTTCCCCGGCTTGTCTCAGCCACTGCACTCTGAGCTCCCTTTTAACATTCACTGCCCTTTGTCCCTTATTTCCTTAGCTGCGCTGCAGATTTCTCTGCATTATAGACGGTTACTTCTCATCTCAACTGCAGTCATCTCTAGACCAAACACAATCACATCATTTTTAATTTATGATTTATAATAATCAAAAGAATGTGTCTTATAGCCTAATCTGAAGTCATAAAAATGTTTCAAAACCTTATCCGTTTCTCACAACATAGTGTAGGAACTTACAAGATTGAAGAGATATATTTGATTGTGCCAAGAATATCCCAATATTATCACTTTAACATTTAGACAATTTTATTATCTTCATAGAGATTCAAGTTCTCTAAACACTGATCTTTAGATTCTCATTTATTTTGTAAACAAATGTTTGTTTTGTTTAACAAGAACAGATTAAGCCACACTTTCTATGTTGCATTAGCAGTTCTGAAGCTAACTGGCACCCATAAAAGTGAGTGAAAGGCATGGACATGTTTTCAAGTGTCTCTTTGTATGTTTCAGACAAAAATTTAATTACAGCAATGCTTCACAAGTTAGAAACTATTAAATCTCCAAAACCTCTAAAATACGGACAATTAACCAGTCCACGGTCCTTAAAAAAGCAACAAAACACACATTTAAAGAATTTGCCTACCAGTTGTTCACTGACCATTGAAAGGGCCTGTGATGCCGAGTCACTCTCGCCAAACACAGATTCTCTTATGATGGTGACATTTTTTACTTTGGCCTAAAATATTTGTAAATAGGATGTCATAGTTACTAAAGCTAAAGGTTAATATTCCAAATGTATTATTTCATTAACCTTAAAAACTTAGAGTTCTTTCTTAACACTTTATAGGAAAATGATCCTCATCACAGGATTTTCTTTACTCTTCCACTCCTTTCAATCTCCATGTGTTTAACAAGGCCTAAAACAAGCAAAAGAATGATGAATATGCTTGTGAAAAGTTACATTATGATTAGAACTAAGCTGGTGTTTTAAGAACCCATGAAATGCCAATTTTAGTAAAGTCTGAGCTAGCTATTTATTCAAAATAAAAAATGTAGATAAAGCAAAAAGTTCCTGTATTTTATTTTTATGTAGAAAATGAAATAATAGAGATTTAAATGTGCTATGGCTCTAAAGCACTCAAAATTAACTACTGAAAACCTTCTAGTACAGGGTCTGAGGATAAAACAGAAATACTGTCAACATGTGATCAGATAGCGATCAATATTATGGTATCTGATATATCAATTCCATTTACCAATATCTTGTTCTCTTTTAAATAACAAACTAAATAGTTACTATTTTAACTGCTTTTTATTAACAACAAAAAGACTTAGAGATTAAGCAAATAAAGGAAAATGTGCCACTCGGATAAAAAATTGGCCACTAACAACGAATTCCAGTTATTTTATGTTGGAGGATTCCAATGTGTTAAAAAGTTTCCAAATAGTAAATTAATTTACATTCAGAAATTTTAGTTATCAACACACATTATGGTATTTAAGTTCACAATCACTTTAAAAGAAAAAAATTGTACATAGCATTATAATTTGATTGAAATTTTTTACAAAGAAGAGCTCAATATTCAAACTTCTTAGGCAAGACCAAAAGATTTGAAAAGTTTGAAAAATTGAATTAGAAATTCAAATTTACCCAAATATCTGTGATTCCTTTATGCATAAATTTCAAGAGAGAGAGAGAGAGAGAGGGGGAGGGAAGGAGAGAGAGAGGGAGAGAGAGAGAGAGAGAGAGAGAGAGAGAGAGAGAGAGAGAGAGAGAGAGAGAAGAGAAGGACTTGCCTAGGCACAGACCCTAGATTCTTCTGACAGGATTGCCCTTTGAGACATTGCCCATGTGGGTCTGCTGCAAGGTGCAGAATAGTCTTCCCATGTGTGCTAGTATTGTCTTCCAGGTGAACAGAATGGCTCTGCCAAGACTTCATTACTGTTCACAGTGGGGGCTTTGTAATTCTATGTAATTTTAATTAAAGGAGAATTCTGAAACAGCCTCCCTCTGAGCTACCTCCAAGCATACAATTAGCAGAGTACAGTGTCTGCTGCGAACAGCTCGGCTAATGATTTCAGTTTAATAATTTATTATTGCTTCTTCAATGCCAACCATACAAGAAAAAATAAGAAGCTAAAATTGTATGCAGCAAGCAGGCATTTTAGGTGTGTAGTTTAATCATCTTTGAAGGGATCCCTTCCCGTTTCCATCTAACACCTCCACAGTCCCCTGAATCTTGATATGAGAGGGAGCATGGGCTGGAAAGTTAGCTCAGTGGTGGCACCGGGTTCGACTGATAGCGTGGCCCTCATGGCAACTCACAACTGTCTGTAATCCAGCTCCAGAGGATCGTGGACTCTCTCTGGCACCTTCGGCACTAGGCATGCATGTATCCATGCAGGCAACACAACCCATGCACATAAAATAAGATTTAAAAAATTAAAATAAAAGAGGATGATTTTGTCTGTGAGAAAACTGCAGGGCATATGTGGTGACTATGCCTAGCAGACAGTTCCTATGGAAAGCTGTTCTCCCTGCTTGAACCCAGGATCTTCTTGTGAAGCACATCCATTGCGAGGCAAGCAAGGCAGCGAGTCCTAAATTGATCTTTCTTAAAGGGACACCTGAGAACAAATGTAATGGCTAGTGTATGAAAATGTCAAAATGAAGCCCATTAATTTTATACTAAACTAAAATTCATTTATAAAAAGTGAAGACGATTAAAAAATAACACATGTTCATTATTGGAAAAAAAAAAAACAGATGGGGGAGACTCCAAGATGTGCCATGAACCACTTCCTCAACTTGGAAGTCTGAATAAACAAGAGAAACGGCAAGTTTTGATCTGAAAATGAGTTTTCAGTCAAAGAAATCACTTATCACAGACAAAAATAATTGAGACATGGGGCATTTAAATCGGTCATTCCTTTTTAAGGGGAGGACAAACAGATCCTAAATCATCACCAGTCTTCCTGTGACTTCTATCTTATGCTTCCAATAAATGCTGACGTCATGACTAAAAGCTTGTAGGCAACACTAGTTTGATTAAAACATTTAAAGAACTTAAACTATATTTTCAAATGACACTTTCAAGCAAGTGCTAAAATTAATATACAACAACATACCCCATACAATAATAACATGCTCCACTTATGAGCAGAAAGGGCCGCAACTTGTTATAAACAGTAATTTTTACCTATAGTTATATTTTGATATTTTAATGTTTGAGACTGAATCAACACCACAGGTTAACCTTTTCAAAAGAAATTACTACATTTTTAATATTGATCAAATCACTTTTTATATGGTACCTCTTCATTCTTGTTGAAAACCACATAGTTGTTTTCCGTTGGATCTTAGCAAAATACAATGAAATTGAGAATGGGAGAGAGTCACATTAATTCCACCCGACATCTCTCCATTCTTGGCCTTATCGTGATCCATGATGAATAATCTGGCCTAGGAAGAGTACATCAGCTACAGGGAGTAGTGCAAATAAAAGTTTGTCCTGTTTTTCTCCCAAACACTATGTTTGCTTTGGTAGGTGAACTCCGTGGCTTTTCTACAAACATATTCCCATAAATGCATCACAACAGGTGCTCAGATGCGCATAATTTTACTGTCTAAACAATCGTTTGACAGAACTTAAGCAGTAAAATTAAACTCTGAAATGAATATTATAATGGCATAATTATATTCACAAATGAGAGCACAAATGACTTAATGTAATCATGTTGTATTTGATACAAAGCTCCAAAGTAAGTAGGGGAAGGGACAGATTCCTTGGCTCTAAATAGAAATGAACCATTGTCCTTACTTTATAGTTTGTGGATACCATGCCCATCTCTTGGAAACAAAGTTTTAGGCAGAAAGTAATGGGTGCCTGTTGCTGTTTCCTACAATGACTCTTAATAAGAATTGCTTAAGAAACACTTTTAAAAAAGCAGCAATTTAAAATCATGCCTTCCTTAACGTACAAATGTGCTGTTTTGTTATATATATTGTTGGGGGGTAAGAATAACAGTCAACTATTTGTTTCTGCAGATATTCGGGACAGTGGGGGTCCAAAGCCAGTGATGGTGTACATCCATGGTGGCTCTTACATGGAAGGCACTGGAAATCTATATGATGGGAGTGTCTTGGCAAGCTATGGCAACGTGATCGTCATCACAGTCAACTACCGGCTTGGGGTACTTGGTAAGATATCTCTTGCATCTTTCACCATGCATCATAAAGAACGTCATAGCTTTGTTTTGCTTTCTTCTTTGCTTCCTGATGGAATTTTTTTGAACCTAAAGTTTTGAATGGTTCTATGCGCTCATTAAATGTTCACACAATAAGTACAGCCAACTTGGGAAAAATTCAAATTTGCAGCAGAAAGGTAATAGAGGCGTTGATTGTTTAGATGTACATCGTGGTTTGACTACACAGAAACATGAAAGCTGACAATGGCAAAAGTCTTCAAAATGAGAAAAAAAAAAACAAGTGTCTGGACAAATATTTACTTCTGTTGTGCTTTGGTGGAGCAGTGTTAAAAATATGCTTGAGGTTGCTCCTAAGTACAGGTTTAAACTTCCTTCTAGAACTGTATATGGACTAACTTGGTGACGTTTCTGTTTACCATTGTCATGTAGGCATTTCCTTGCTTCTATTTATTTGCAGTTCCAAATTGATTAAGAATATTTTCTCTCGGTATATTTCTATTGAATGACTTAATTTGAAAAAAGCACACAGTCATTGCTTAAGATGACAGTCAGTTCAATTCAGTCTGCTCCATTGTTCCAGATGGAAAACAGAGTCTAAGCCGGAACCCTTCATTTTGAATAAAAATATAGAGAAATTTTACTCTTCGTAAAATATCTTCATTTAATAGTCAAATTTGAAAAGATAACTTGCTGTTCTACCAATTTAAGAAGTAGGTCACATTATTGGCAATGATGAAGAAAATAGTATTTAATCAAAGTTATCTGTGGTATGTTAATGTAACTTGATTAAATATTTCACTTTTAAATCTTAGTTGTTCTAAAACTTTTACTACAACTTCAAGACTCAGAATTATTGTCTGTAGATAAAGGGATATTCTACTCCTGAATTTTGTCTTCTAAATTCAGGAGAAATGCTAAGTTATATACTATTTTATATCATACATATGTTTTTGCCATGTTGAGAATAAGGGCTTTTTACTTTCTCATCTTCCTTAGATATTTTGACAATGTGGTGGAGTCAAGTGGATGATACTATAATGGGCATACTTTATCAGTGGAGGTAGAGTGTATTTCTGCAGCCCAGTGCACGGGAGCATTTTGCTGACCAGAGTGTATACTTATGCATTCTTCAGTTAGAATCATTTTGTTGCATTAGAAAATGCTTCTGACCACTGAAAACTCTGCACATTAGAAGACAAAGAAGGAAGTGTTCATAATTATCTCTAAGTATCTTACAAAACATTTTCAGATGACGGTTTTTTATGATGCCTCACCACTTTTATTTTGTAGTATTTACATTTTATACTATTTCTATAATTCAGTCATTTTAATAACTATCATTCTCATTGTTTTCCAAATTTCTCCAGTTGAAAATCCCATGCAGTGACATGTTTGTAGACTAAAATTCTAAAAGAAATTGCAAGTGTGGCGTCCGTGCTTGTAGCGATGGCATACGGCGTCTTGGCTGACAATTAGTGTGTCACAGCACAACTCTCTATGATGAGCTTTGTGATGAAGCTAATAGAAATTTTACCCCGGGCTTCCTGTTTCCTTTTAAAAGTGTTATTTTCCTCTTTTATTGTGTCTTTAGTAAGGACTTCACATTGATCTGATTTGAATCCTCCATACACGGTCACATCTTGTCTTAAGAAACGACATTGTGGTTGGGTTTCAGGACAACAGATCAAGCAGCTAAAGGAAGGAAACACTCACTCATCTCACTGTCTGCCTGGCTCAGAGCCAGCACTGCTGCCATGGAGGATGGGACTTTCCAGGTTTAGTCTGCTCTGTCTGAATCCCAGGGTTCAGCCTTCAGTTGGCTCTTTTATTCCTTAAGCAGTAATCATATTTAGTCTGAGGCTGCTTTTTATTAAACTCTAAACATAAAAAATAATCAAAATTTGTTGGTGAAATTGTGTAAAGAAATGGTTCTCAACCCAAGGTTCACAAACCCTTTCTTTGCACAAACTTTTCTTTGGGCCTAAGGCCACTGGAATACACGATGGTTCATAAAAGTAGCAGCAAAATCATTGTATGGTTGTGGTCAGCACAACATGAGGAGTTCTGTGAAAAATTTGCAGCCTTAGGAAGGTTGAGAACTATTGCTCGAACACATATTTTAAAGTATTAATCCTAGAATTAGTTAGATTTTGGCCAGAGTTTTATTTTCAAAATAAAACTGTTGGGATTGTATTAAAATGAGATAATCGAAGGAAAAGTAATTATCAGAACATGTATTATAGCATCCTTCTCACAAGTGTCACATTAAACCAGATCAACAGTCATTGTGTTGAGCCATGACAATGAGGACTGTGAATATGTTTGTTGTGTATATTTATCTAACAACAAGGTCAGCCAAGGATTCTTAGGCGTGGGTTCCAAAAGAATGGTGGTCAAGTTTGTTGTGAGGTAAATGCTGAAAATTAGGTATAAAATAAGAGTTGATTTCATATCAGAGAAAGTCCTATGCTGTTTTTTGATTCTGGTGTTTTGTTGTGATGATGAATTTGGGAAACCAGTGAAAACTGGCTGATTATAGTTCTGTTGATCTGTGGCAATTGGCAGGCAAGCCAATGTTTGGAGCACGTTTTTGCCACTTTGAATTTATCGTATTTGTTTTGCTCTTGCTTTTTGTGGTTAGTAGAGAAGTAAAAATCATTCAGGTATAAAATTCATACGACTATCTGGTAACCAAGGTTCTAGAATTAAATTGTCTTGTGTGAAAAAGTATTTTGTGTGTTACTAATTAGGAGCAGTGTGGAGAATAATTAACATGTCAGCTCATTCAGGGAGTCGATGGTTGGCATAACTTCCTGAACTAAGAAGCTTCTGTGGTGTCCTTGGAAGAGTGGCACATACCCTCACTGAACACTACTGCACATAGCCTTTCCCGCTGAGATAGTCAGTTGTGTGCTGAGAACATTAACGGCCAGCAAGGTTGACAATTCAGACAAGAGGGAGGAGGGAGGACTCTGGTTCTCCCCTCACTGTCTCAGATCAACTGTCAGTTCCTGGGGACCGTGTATCAGACAATAAGAATCCAGACAGGAGCTTGATCGTGCTCACAGTTTCGTACTCCTGCAGTTGTGATGTAGCTGGCTGTGTTTCTGCTTCATTTAGCATCTGCTGTTTAAAGCACTATTCCATACATCTTGGAATTGAGTATATAATAATTTTTACTGGGTTGCATTTTAATATTTTAATTTATGGTGACTAAAATTTATTAACCTGGTTACTTGAAAAATGCTTTGGTTATGTTTTGTTGTAGGAGAAAGTAATCTATTTAAAATATTTAGATTGTACCCTGGGTAAGTGTGTATTTTTATTGCCAAAAATTGAAAATTGTGATGAAATAAGTCGTTCACTGTGTAAGATGCAGTGATTCACATTTTTTGAAAATGGAAAACTAAAATTGTAATGTATCTGTAAATCTCACAAAATATAAAATACAGTAAGCAATTTAATATTCCAATGAGTTTCAACTATTTTAAAATTACAATAAATTTATGTTACTTTTAGTATAAAATGAATGATTCAATGCAATGATATTTAAATTAGGTCATTGTAAAATTGGTCATCTGGTGGAAAATGCTATCTTTGTCTGGGAAGGACCTGTTAGAGGTAGTTGTACAAGTCTTTATTCTAGCCAATATTATTTACATTTATTTTTGTTATTTCTTCGAACACACAAAGTGCTTTGATCCTTTTCCACCTCTAACACTTTCTAAACTCAATCCCCTTCCCTAACCATATAACTTGTATCCTTTCCTTGTTATTTCTCTCTTTTCTTTTTCAATGCCTCAAGACCAGTTAATTTATGTCACCTAAGTGTTAGTGAATGTGTGGTTTTCCGCTGTGCCTGGTTGACCTAGCAAGTGGTAGACTCTTAGGGAAAGCTGTCTCTCCCTCTCCTGACAGTGAGCCGTTGCCAATAGTTCGGTATCTTGTGATGGAATAGTGTGTTCTATCCCTCTCTATGCTGAGATTTGATATGGTTAGGATTTGTACAGGATTTATGCTCTCATGACTGCTGTGAGCTTATATGCATAGCTACCCTGCTGAATCCAGAAGACAATCTTCCCTTGGAGTCATTCATCAGCCCAGGATCTTACATGTTTTATGCCCCCTTCTCCTGTAATGATCCCTTAGACATGGGAGAGGCTGTGTTTGGTATATATGTGTTCCCTTTATGTCTGAGCATTCTACACTCTTATTCACCGAACCGTGGCCAGTTGTGAGCTGCCATCAGCTACAAAAAGGTCTATCTCAGATTAATGTCGAGATGAATAGTCTATGGGTGCAGTGATAAACACTCAGAGTTGTTTACTATGTCTGATAAGCATCATAATAGCAGTAGTTTCTCTCCTATGATTTAGGAACTGCCTAGCTATAAGTTCTAAAACAACAACAAAATGTTGCTAGATATGGATTTTGGCTCGTGTAGCAGATGTTAAATTCAGTAGCAAAGTAGCTTTTACTTTCTTGAAATTTATGCCACTATTGTACTAGTGCGCACACCTCCCAGGATGGTCGATCCTCATTGTACCATTGCACACACTCCTAGGCTGGTCGATCCTGAGTGTACCAGTGCACACACATCTCTGGCTGATCACTTCTGACTGTACCAGTGAACACACTTCCCAGGCTTGTTGATGCTGATTGTACCAGTGCGACACATCTCAGGATGGTTGATCCGGACTGTGCCATTGTGCACACCTCCCAGGATCGTCAATCCTGAGTGTACCAGTGCATACACCACCCAGGCTGGTGGATCCTGAGTGTACCAGTGCACACACATCCCAGGCTGGTCGATGCTGATTGTACCAGTGTGCACACCTCCAAGGATGGTGGATCCTGTAGTTTTCAGGACTGATAGGCAGGTGTGACCAAGTGATGACTGATAGACAGGTGTGACTGAGTGATGACTGTCTTTCTTCTCCAGTATCTTACATGGAGTTTCTAGCAATATGAAAGCTAGCCAAGAGGGCTGAA